TTTCCCCATATGCTCATCTGTAAAATGGGGATAGTAAAAGTATCAGCTGGGTGCGGTGGCTCACGCCTCTAATCCCAGCACTTTGGGAGGCCAAAGCAGGTGGATCATAAGGTCAGGAGTTCGAGACCAGCCTGGCCAGCATGGTGAAACCACATCACTACTAAAAATACAGAAATTAGGTGGGTGTGGTGGTACTTGCCTGTAATCCCAGCTACTCAGGAGGGTGAGGCAAGAGAATTGCTTGAACCTGGGAGATGGAGGTTGCAGTGAGCCAAGATTGCACCACCAGCCTGGGTGACAGAAGGAGATTCCATCTCAAAAAACAACAAACAAACAAAACTTAAAGTATCATTATGAACTCATGGTTTATAATGAATTTAAACTTACTTGATGTTTCAGTTCATTGATATTTCTACCCTCAGGGATGATCAGTTGTTGCATCTTTGGCTAGTAGGAAACCCTTCAAAACCCTAATATGTTTTTTAAACTTCCTTATTTTCTGTGATGACATGATATTTCAAGCTCTTCTGGAATATTTCTTGCCCCTAACCTGGAATCAGCCATTTCTACAAGAAGGCATGGTCTCTTTTCCTTTCTTGGAAAGGATGCAAGGCTGTGTAGTGCTACTAGGTGATCATTGCTCCCAGGCTTTTTCAGTGGACAGAGCTAGGAAATAGTTTTTGTTTGTTCGTTTGTTGTTTTGAGATGGAGTCTTGCTCTGTCGCCCGGGCTAGAGTGCAGTAGCACAATCTTGGCTCACTGCAGCCTCCGTCTCCCGGGTTCCAGTGATTCTCCTGCCTCAGCCTCCCGAGTAGCTGGGATTACAGGTACATACCACCACACCCAGATGATTTTTGTATTTTTAGTAGAGACAGGTTTCACCATGTTAGCCAGGCTAGTCTCGAACTCCTGGCCTCAGGTGATCCTCTCGCCTCAGCCTCCAAAAGCGCTAAGATCACAGGTGTGAGCCACTGTGCCCAGCTGTATTCTTTTAAAGATAAAAAATTTAATGAGTTTGCTTTTATTCTTCCAGTTTGTATTCTGGACTATAAGATTTAAAAGTTTGTTTCATCCTTTTTCCTCTGCACAAAGTCCTGGGTCCCAACAAACACTGACATACTTACTGATTGCTTTCTTACCTGCTATGACCCATACGACCCAGCAGCTTTAGAATAACAGTACCCACTTCTCCAGTAAGAATATGATTACTGAAAACAGATTAAGATTTTTCTTTTGGCCACCTTTTGGGGTCAGTTTTAAAGGGTATTTCACAATATGGATATACTGTCAGATTATTATGTTGTAAAGTCTCTTGGAGTAGTGCTGCTCTAGTGTTATCAACTGGATTTGCTTTTAGGGATACTTTATTCACTTTTTTTTTGACTTTAGGGATTGCATTATTCACATTTGATTTAGTATTGTGAATAAATTTTACATGATTTCAAAACAAAACGATGGATAAAAGGAGCTTCATTTCCATCCTTGTTTCTTCTTCCCTATTCGCCTCCCTCACTTATAGTATCAATTTTGAAAAAAATGCTATAGATTATCCTACCATTGTTTTTTTCAATATCAACAAGTACATATATATGTTTAGTCTTCTTTTAAAAAAAAATGGGTTTTTCACTATGGCTTATTTCACTTGCCCTGTTTTTTGTGTATCTTCTGGTATTTAGAAAGGCTTGGGTTTGGGTTTGAATGCTTACCTTTGTACTCAGCCTTCACATGGCACTCTCACTCCCCTCTTGTTTGGTCTTTGTCTGTTGGTTCCAAATATGAACAGTATCGAAATGAGCTGGGAGCCTATTCCTCCCCTTCCACAACACTGGTTTTGAACTAAGGACCTTCATACTCTTTGGGAACATTTCCAGATCTCCAAAGTGAATGCATTTTGTATAGAGAAATGTGTGGTCCACAACTGATAATTGATTAGGATGTGGTAAGTTAACTTAGGGTCGCTTGTTAAAAAAAATACAAGTGGGCTGGGTGTGGTGGCTCACGCCTGTAATCCCAGCACTTTGGGAGGCTGAGGCGAGCGGATCACTTGAGGCCAGGAAGTCAAGACCAGCCTGGCCAACATGGTGAAACCCCGTCTCTATTAAAAATACAAAAATTAGTCAGGCGTGGCGGCACATGCCTGTAATCCCAGCTACTCAGGAGACCAAGGCAGGAGAATCAGTTGAACTGGGGAGGCGGAGGTTACAGTGAGCTGAGACTGCGCCATTGCACTCCAGCCTGAGCGACAGAAGGAGACTCGCTCTAAAAAAAAACAGCCAACCAACCAACCAAGTACCAAGTGAAATGTGTTAGATTGAGCTGTTCTACCAGGGAGTGATGGGCAGCCTGAGAGGACACCCACCTGTCCCGCAGTGCATTATCATGTGCCTGATGCACCTGGGTGCTGTGTGGGATGCAGACAGTTCTTTAAGGAGGTAAAATGCTTTCATAGGGCTGGTTTCTATGGTTTTCCCCACCCCCCACTTAAGTGATAAGATGGTATATGAAGTCATAAGGGCCAGGTTAGGTACCATGAATAATTAATTGCCACAGCTCTCAGTAACCTAATTTTAGAAGCAGATGTGGCAATAGTAGGCCCTGGTTTCAGTTTCCTTCATTTTGCAAATGGCAAAGTGGCCAATATGTAAGCAGGGAAAGGGAAAAGGAGGGAAAAGCCATAGTACTCAGCACTTGATTGAGACGTGTCTGGTTCCTGAAAGGCAGAGTTAGCTCTGTGTCATCCCTTTCTTCACTGACTTGGATTTGCGGAACGCCTGCTATGTGTAAGGTGGATATTATATATGCAGTAGGATAGGGTAGGAGCTTGTACTGTTATGCCCATGTAGTGCTATGGAATGAGAAAAACTAACATATTTTGAGGCAGATTGTGGGGATGACAGACACTATAAAAGTGTGCCGTTTGAGCTAGGTTCATGGGTGTGAGTGAGGGTTAGGGATTCCTCACAAGTGAATTGACCTTCCTTTTTTTTTTTTGAATGTAGGTTTAAGTAACCTATTAAGTGGGATAAGCAGACTATTATTAACTGTAGAATTTAGGTAGGTACTAAGTAGATGAAAAAATGGTAGCAGAAGGTTAATGTTAATGTTAAATCAAGTCCTGGATCTCACTCACATTGTCTCTTTCTCTGAGACTCACAGAGTGCACCAAGAGAAAAATGAATGTGTGTACCCTTTATCTCAGTAGTGCTACCTCTAGCATTTTATCGCAAGAATGTATTTGGCCTTTTCTGCAAAAATATATGTGCAGGATGTCAGTTAGGCATATGTGTGTGTACGCACACATTGACAAAGTAAGTGTGCACCTTCTCTTTCCCATAGACACACACGTACTCTCACTTTGCATATATTCTGTATTTATAGTAGGAGGTTGAATGTTTCTTGCCTTTTTATAGTGACCATATATTATTTGCATAGTAAAAAAAATCAGTAAAACGATTTTCATTCAACAAGGTAATTACAATTTGCATTTCCTTTTAGTGCAATTTATAGAGATCTGGATTTTATACTATTTTTGATTTTGAAGCAGAACATTTATATTCTTATATTCTTTAAATTGGTATTGATTCAGTTTCATTTTTGGCTTACAACAAAATCAGATGATTACAAGGGAGGAATGGCTGACTCTTAAGGAGGCATTCCTAAGGTTCTTGGATTGGTGAATGAGTTTGTGAAGTCTGACTCAGTGATGAAACTCTTTGATCTACTCTAGAAACTATACGGATTTTCAAATGTGTTGAACATTTGTAACAAGCTTTGCATTTTAAATATGATCAAACTGGTAATGGCAGAAGATTATTTTAAAAGAGAATAATAACCATCTTTCTTTGGCCATGTTTTTATAGGTGTCCGATTGTTTCTACCTTTTTTTTCTTTTTTGAGACAGAGTCTGGCTCTGTCGCCCAAGCTGGAGTGTAGTGGCGCAATCTTGGCTCTCTGCAACCTCTGCCTCACAGGTTCACGCAATTCTCCCTGCCTTAGCCTCCCGTGTAGCTGGGATTACAGACACCCGTCACCACACCTGGCTAACTTTCGTATTTTTAGTAGAGATGGGGCTTTGCCCTGTTGACCAGACTGGTCTCCAACTCCTGACTTCAGGTAATCTGCCTGCCTCAGTCTTCAAAAGTGTTGGGATTACAGGTGTGAGCCACTGCACCCGGCCTGTTTCTAACATCTTTATATTTACTGTGTCAATTCTTTAATAGCCACAATGAAAAAGTTTACTAAGGCAGTGTCTGTTATAATTTGACTTTTTGTTTGCCTTGCTTTGAAGAATCAGAGGCAAATTCTATTTGGGCAGATAGAGTTGTCAACCACCTTGCCTCTTTAACTTCTTTCTTAGGGAGATTTAATCTGCTTGATGACCTTAACTTCTTTTATCCAATTAGTAGGATTACATGTTAATCATGATTTGTCAAATGCTTTTAAAATAAAATTTTACAATGAAAATAATTTTATTTTTATATTTTTTTAACAGAAATCATAGCCCACTAATGAGTTTTGGAGCCAGTTTTGTCAGTTTTTTGGTAAGTTGATATCTTAAGACCTATTGGCATGAAGGAAACAATTATATAAAGTAATATCTGTTAGTGGCTACCAGTTGTATAGATACACTATTATAGAAAATCTTTTAAAGTTTAAAGCTGAAATAAAGTTTTTGCCTATTACCCAATGCCTAGGAAATAATCTGCCTCCCCTAATTTTAAAAATAAATGCTTATATCTTATTTATAGAGTATTATATTTTAATCAAAGTCCTTTTTAGAATAAAAATGTAATGGAAAGACCTTCAGTGATTAAAACTGCATTTGAGGGAGAAAAAAAGGTCTGGGTTTGAATAATAAAGGTTTACTCTAAAATTATTGAATAAATGTGGACTAGAGGACAAGTTAAATGAGTGGAGCTAACGTTTGTCAGTTAGTATTACATTTCCAAATATAAGTATTTGGGAATAGAGGAAGTGGATTGCAGCTAGGTTTTAAAGTACATTGGGCAATGTGGAAAATGAGATGCTTTGATTTTTCAGAGACAGTTAAGCATCACACAAACTACTTTCAAACACATAATTTTTTAAAAGACTTGAAGAATTGTGTAACAACAGGAAAAGAAAAGACATGACAGAAACTGAAAAAGAGAAAGCATTTAGATCTAAGACTTAGAAAGATGTCAGCGAATGGGCATGTCACACACAGCCTGGCATTGCTCAACCACAGGTACCAGGCCAGCATCCAGTGAGACATTTTTATTCAAGGTATTTATTTCCTCTTATTGCCAGTTAATGCAACAAAAATGTTAAGGGCTATTGTTTGAAAGAATACATTATTCCCAACCTCAAGGAGAATGGTACAGGGTCAGGGTCGTAACTTTAGTTCTCAAATGATTACAAGAGCTATAAACGAGATATATCTAAAAGGTCTTGGCTGAGTCTGGTGATGGAGGAGGAGGTGAGAAGCAAGGCCACACAGCAGGGTTGAGATTTCAGCAGCATGAGAGGAGGGTTGGGAAGAAGAGTGTGGCAGGGAGGCTTGGGCCAAGGTGATGGTGGTCTGGTTTGGCTGGAATGGAGAAGTAGGTTAGAGCCATACTGAGGAAGTCTGAAATGTGAAATGCCAAGATGGAGGTGGTGGAACTTGATAGGAAATGGGGAGCTAGAGACATAGGTTCATTAGGTCCTTCCAAGAACCAGGTATTCTGTAGCAAGTCTCTTTCTGCCCCTGTAAGCCCATTCATCTCAGAAAACTCAGCTCTACTGGGTAGAAGTCACAGGTGTTCAGCAATTTGGTAGATTTCCCCTTCCTGGTTAAATGTGGCCTGAAAAAGCCTACCAGGATCAGGTGCCTAGAAACAAGCTGTCATGGAATTTTGAACCATAGACAATATAAAACAAATTCCTTGTAAGTGAACCCACTGGAATCGCAGTCCCTGGAAAGACTGAATTTTTCCAAGAGTATCTACAAGCTGTTGTTTCATTAGCATTTTCTGTGCAGTACTTGGTGGAGCCGGGGATCCGTATGTGGGTAGAATTAAGTTTTGAATTAGACACCATTGTGAAAACTGAATTGAGCAGACCAATCAGAAATTATAGAGAATTTTTGTTGTTGTGTTTAATAACAGCAACAATAAAACTTGTGGAACAGTAATTGCAGGGACATTTATTACTATATTTTTTTCATGATGATGTGATAGAGGTATAGTCTTATTTCATGTTGAGATTATAGTTTCTTTAAATGAATAGATTGTGCTGTTACATTTACATTCTTTTGCTTGCAATAAATAATTTGTTTTTTATTTAATTTGAAGTTTTGTTGTAACAAATTCGCCTAAATTTCTCTCTCTCTTTCTTTCTCCTCTCTCTCTCTCTCTCTTTCTAGAATGCCATGATGACATTTGAGGAAGAAAAAATGCAGTTGGCATGTGATGACTTAAAAACTACAGAAAAACTGTGTGAAAGTGAAGAGACTGGAGTAATTGAAACAATCAAGAATAAAATTAAGAAGAATGTAAGTACTGGGGCTTTAGGTTGTGAACTGTGTGCCGCTTATTTAGAATATCACTTTTGTTCATTTAGAACAAAAACCATTTGCTTGGTTTGAGTATTTAAAATATCGCTGAAAAACCACAATGTTTCTTATGGTTTTTAGCTATATAAAATGTATCTCTTAAAAAACAGAAGGTCCTTTCAGTCATCCAGAGCCATTCAGTGCATGTGCATTTGATATCTTAGAGTCATTTTCACCATAATGCGCTGTGTGGCAAGAGCTGTTTTAATGAGCTTTTCCTATATGTGATTCAAATAGGATATGATGGCAGTTGATGAATAATAGAATTGCATTTTGGTATAATTCTGAAATTCAGCAGTTTACCTAATTTTCCCCAGGCCTCACCAGCCTTTGGTTGCAAATAGTCATAATAACATCATAATCAAGTTTTCCTGATTTTGCCTTCATCTTTCAGTGCAAAAGTGCTAGGCTGTGGAGAGACGTTCTCCTAGCCCTGATGTTACTTGGAGTGCTCAAGGGTCTCACATATGTCACTGACAAATCAGTCTGTCGGATATAGTCATCAGAAGCCACCTGTCTTCTACTCCTGCATGCCTGTGCCCTGCCTATAAAGCATCATGGGAGAGTGCTTTACCTCTCCTCTTGTTTATAGTGTCCACCATGAGAAAGCCACTGATGGGCCAAGTGTCCCATCTCCTGATGGTCCAGAAGGCCAGAGTTTTTTAGCTTCCTCTCTCTCCAGCCTGATGTCTAATCAATGACCAAGTGCTGTTGACTCTTTTTCTTAAATACCTCTTGAATTCATCGACTATTCTCCATCCTCACTGCCATCTCTGTAGGTCAGACACCATCCCACTTGTCTAAGATACATCGGCATTTCTGCCTCCGGTCTCATGGTTTTGTAATGTAGGGGTCCCCAACCCCTGGGCCATGGGTCCATACTGGTCCATGGACTGTTAGGAACCAGGCCTCAGAGCAGGAGGTGAGCTGCAGGGTGAGTGACCATTACCGCTTGAGCTCCACCTTCTATCAGATCAGCAGCGTCATTAGATTGTCATAGGAGCATGAACTGTGCCTGTAAGGGATCTAGGGTGTGTGCGCTCATTATGAGAATCTAACTAATGGCTAATGATCTGAGGTGGAACAGTTTCATCCTGAAGCCATTAACCCATACACTCCCAAACCCCCAACCCGGTCCATGGAAAAATGGTCTTCCATGAAGCTGGTCGCTGGTGCCAAAAAGGTTGGGTTCTGCTGCTCTAATTCATTGTTGATAATATAGTCACTAAAATGCAAATTTGTTGCTTACATGGTTTTCAGTGGGCCCTCTCACCAGCCATTGCCATTATAATAAAGTACCAACTCCCTAATGTGGCTGCCTTGGCATTTACATTTCCTCTGCCTGGAACATTCTCCTCCCTCATTTCCTGGTTCCTGCTCTTTTTTAGTTCTTTCTAGGTGTCCTTTTCCCTAAGGACTCTTGTTTGAGGCTCCATGCCCTGTGGAGTATGTCTCCTACAGGTCCCGTGGTTCCCTGCCCTTACCCTTAGAGTGCTTCCCACAATACATAGTAATAAGGTCTGTATTTCCTCAGTACAATGAAAGCTTATTTACATGTCTGTCATCAGTATCCAGTACCATGTCTAGCATTTGCGTTAATAATTAACATTTGTTGTGTGTCCTTGCAATTTAAAGTGTTTTCACATTTAGCATCTTATTAGGCCTCCCAACAATCCTATACAGTAGTTTTTTTTTTGAGACAGAGTGTCAGCACTGTTGCATGGGCTGGAGTGCAATGGCACGATCTCCGCTCATTGCAACCTCTACCTCCTGGGTTCAAGCGATTCTCCTGCCTCAACCTTCTAATAGCTGAGATTACAGGCGTCCACCACCACACCTAGCTAATTTTTTGTATTTTTAGTAGAGACAGGGCTTTCACCATGTTGTCCAGACTGGTCTCGAACTCCTGACCTCAGGAGATCCACCCACCTCGTCCTCCCAAAGTGCTGGGATTATAGGCATGAGCCACCGCGCCCGGCCAGATGTTATTACAAATGAGGAAATAAAAGCATCTTGACATTTTTCCAAGTGAATAGAGTAGTGAGTGCTGGGGTTAGATTTGGAACCACAGTGACCATGATGGATTATGCTAAAATCTAGAGAAAAGGGAAGGAGATGACTCTGGCATGACTACTGTGTATACTGTTGACATATCTGCAAAAATTCTATTATTTTTTCTGTCATTGTGATAGCATATTGAAAGCTATTTAACTTATTTTATTCAAGTTTACTTTGTACTAAATACAGAGTGTTCTATTCTGGAGTGATTTTTCTTCATTTTAGAAACATGATAAAGACCAACATTTTATAAAAAGTAATTTGACTTTGCATATTTTTATTTATATGACTTATATTTCAAGTACTGTTTGTGATTTATTCAAAGCTAATTTTGAATTCCAGAATATTTTCTTCTTAATGGAAATGTAATCTGTTTCTGATCCTTACATCTCAGTAGCATGCACGAATAGAATGCCCCTAATGTGGCCAGGTACAGTGGCTCACACTTGTAATCCCAGCACTTTGGGAGGCTGAGGTGGGGGGATCACCTGAGGTTGGGAGTTTGAGAACAGCCTGATCAACATGGAGAAACCATGTCTCTATTAAAAATATAAAAATTATCCGGTGTAGTGGCGCATGCCTGTAATCCCAGCTACTCAGAAGGCTGAGGCAGGAGAATCGCTTAAACCCAGAAGGTAGAGGTTGCAATGAGCCGAGACTGCATCACTGCACTCCAGTCTGGGTGACAAGAGTGAAACTTTATCTCCAAAAAAAAAAAGAATGCCCCTAATGTTATCCTACCTGAAGACAGGTAGCTGCAAAGTTGACTTTTCAGGTTACCTACTTGGAGGAATATATTGTACCTTTAATAATTTTTGTTTTGGATAAGAAAGACTCTACATTGTTTATTTTTTTAAAAAGGTGAAACTCCAAAGTTTTATGTCGCTTTCATATTTCCTATGAATTCAGCTTGTATCCCTTAGAATATTTTTATCTTTGAGTTACAGTGCTCAAACAAACAAAACTAAGTCAGACTAATGGAAATTTGAAGCTGCTAGGTCCATAGGATAAATTTGGTCTTGGCATTGAGTGAATGCCAGATTTCACAATTCCTATGTGAAGTTACTTTGTACAATAACCTAATACTGTCTGGGGGGACTATCGTTGTTATGTGTGATTTATCACTGTGGGCTTTCTTTCCGCCAAATAGGTTGATGTCCGAAAATCCGCTCCCTCTATGGTTGATCGGCTTCAGAGGCAGATAATCATAGCTGACTGTCAGGTTTACCTGGCTGTGCTTTCGTTTGTAAAACAAGAATTATCAGGTATGCTGAAGCGTTATTTTTAATGGCTTTCACTATTCAGTGCACACAATTAGTCATATGCTTTTTTTAGAATGCCTTATATTTCAGTCTTTGAAAACATGTGGCACCTCTTTGGGGCATGATACTGATTTATTCCTGGGGAAATTGAAACCACAAGTGTTTAATGTGTGTTTAGTGGAGGAGTTTTTGTGCCAGAGTCTGTTTCATCCTCTTATCTCAAGAGAATTCTGTCATACTTACAGAAACTGCCGGTGCCTTTTATATGTATGTAGATGTATAATACTTTGTGGGAATCAGATTGTGATAATAACCTTTAAAGTGAAATATAACTGGCTTAAATTTAAGGTTTTCAGGAAGTTGTTATTGAAAGCCTGAGTACCTTCAATGGTTTCAAGCATATTAGGAGATCGTTAAAGATTATTAAAGTTTTGCTAATATAGGGCCAGGCGCGGTGGCTCACGCCTGTAATCCCAGCACTTTGGAAGGCCGAGGCGGGTGGATCACCTGAGATTCGGAGTTCGAGACCAGCCTGACCAATATGGTGAAACCCCTGAATCTTTTTTAAAAAAAAAATTGCTAATATACTGGAATGACCTGCATTTTAGCAAATTTTAGTGAGGGATATAAACAAATTTCTTAATTAGTTTGTCCAAGACAAATGTTTTCCAGGCTTAGTTTTCATTTCTTAAGTGAAATAGAGTCAAGTCAGCATCTAAAGCTTGTCCTACCAGTGAGTCTAAAATTGACCTAATTCTTTTAATTATGTAGTTATGGGTGTCTCTGATATTGACAGCCGAAACTTGCCACTTTGGTAGATAGAATTTGCTTGAAAAAACTGAAAATTCTAAAAGGAAATCAATTAAAATTCACTGTCAGAAAGATAATTTCTCCTAAACCTTAAATGAAGAAGGATATGTTTCTTTTAAATTAGAACATGCTCTTTCTAGCCTTTCAGAAGCCAGTTTTTCCTCCTCCTTCTCATTTCTCTTGCTCTTTCCATCTTTGTCTCTGTCTCATTCCGAGGATGCTTTATTCTGTTTGGCTGAAGTCAAAAGTGGAATTTAACTTTTATTTTGACCTCTGAGATTTGGACTTCTAAGAATTGATCTTCCTTTTAAAATATGTTCTATGATGTACCTTCACTGTTTGCTTTGGTTCAATAATTTTTTTTCTCTTTAACCCTCTTCTCAGGACTTTTCTAATAATACCTTGCTATATGGTCAAGAACTCAAAGTTCATGTGAATTTTCTGTAATGCAATAATGTCAAATCCCCCGTTTGGAGCTCACTCCTAACTCAGATATAGAAGAGTAGTGGAGCTTATCTGAACCTTGTTGTTCAAGACAGGAGCTCTCCGTGTTTTTGTACTTGCTTTTCCTGACACTCAAGGGCTCTCCTAAGGAACTAATTTTAACCATTAAGAAAAATATCTGGCCAGTTGCAGTGGCTCACACCTGTAATCCCAGCACTTTGGTAGGCCAAGGCAGGCAGATCACTTGAGGTCAGGAGTTTGAGACCAGCCTAGCCAACATGGTGAAACCCTGTCTCTACTAAAAATTCAAAAATTAGCCAGGTGTGGTGGTGGGTGCCTGTAATCCTAGCTACTTGGGAGGCTGAGGCATGAGAATCGCTTGAACATAGGAGGTAGGGGTTGCAGTGAACTGAGATCACTCCTGGGCACTACAGCCTGGATGACAGAGTGAGACTCAAAAAAAAAAAAAAAAGAAAAAGAAAAACTATCTGTTGAGGGAGGAGGCTAAAGCAAATGTAATAAAAGTTAAAGTGTGAAAGCGTATCAGAACTTTTTTTTTTTTGAGATGGAGTCTTGTACTGCCTCCCAGGCTGGAGTACAGTGGCACAATCTTGGTTCACTGCAACCTCCGCCTTCCAGGTTCAAGCGATTCTTCTGCCTCAGCCTCCTGAGTAGCTAGGATTACAGGTGCCCACTACCAATCCAGGTTAGTTGTTTGTGTTTTTAGTAGAGACAGGGTTTCACTATGTTGGCCAAGCTGGTCTCCAATGCCTGACCTTGTGATCCACCTGCCTTGGCCTTCCAAAGTGCTGAGATTACAGGCATAAGCCACCACGCCCAGCCAGAACTTTTTAAATGAGTATATCTGTTCTTCATTTGTTCAGTCATTGATCGATTCAACAAATAATTATAGAGCAAATGCTGTGTGCTAAGCACTAGTTAGATAAGAAAACACAGGCCTAGTCCCTGCCCTTGAGAAGCTGAGAATTATCAGATATTTATATTTCTGATTGTAAAATTTCTAAATATTAGTGTGGAAAATTTTGGAAAGATAGAAAGCAAGTCATCATCTCTAATTTTACCACTTAGAGAAAATCTCTTTGTTAATAGTAATCTGCTTTATATTTCTCTATTTTTTTTTTAACAAAACAGTGTCTATAGTATTTTGTATCTTATTTTTTCTTTTCAAATATACTTTGGATATTTTCCCTATGACTCAGTTTCAGAACATAATTTTAAATAATAGCATGTTCATTTATCATATGGATATGCCATAATGTATTTAATCAATTCCTCATGGACATTTAGATGATCATTGGTGTGCGTTTTTTGGGGTATTAGTGAGGTTGAACATTGTTTTGTATTTTATTCATAAGCTATATTTATTTCACAAAGTATTTTCACAGTCTTTACCTATTCTTCTAACAGTTTGATACTATTGTTATTTATTCCTGTTTATCGTAGTATTTGACAGCATTCTTGGTTCTTCCTGAAGTCCTGTGATTTATTGAACATGATTTTGGCCTTGAAGTAAAATTCTCATGGGCATGAAAGCCTCAGGCTGTCATATACGAATGTCATAGTTACTTGCTTTGTGAATAGATCAGCATTTGTTTCAAACAAACATAACCAACAATGTGCTCTATTTGCCTTTCAGACAACTAGTGGGTTATTAAGCTACAAATAATTTGTTTACTTCATTGTTGGGATCCACATTTCTTAGAAAACATTTTACATGTATAATTTTCTTGGGGAAAAAAAATATCACAAAACTTCTCGTTGGAGATGTTTGTTACGGGTGGCCCTCCCTAACCCTGGAGCAGGGAAGCACTGAGGGGCCAGGGAGGCACAAACGGGCCAGAGCTCTGGTAGGGATGAGCCAGTGTGAACTCTGTAATGGTTCATACTTTTTTTTCTTGTGACGGAGTCTCGCTCTGTCACCCAGGCTGTAGTGCAGTGGCATGATCTTGGCTCACTGTACAACCTCTGCCTCCCAGGTTCAGGCGATTCTCATGCCTCAGCCTCCCAAGTAGCTAGGATTACAGGTGCACGCCACCACTCCCAGCTAATATTTGTATTTTTAGTAGAGATGGGGTTTCACCATGTTGTCTAGGCTGGTCTCGAGCTCATGACCTTAAGTGGTTTGCCTGTCTTAGCCTCCCAAAGTGCTTGGATTGCAGGCATGAGCCACCATGGCCGGTCAGTGGCTTCATACTTTTAAAAGAGCTTGTGTTTATCTCATTTAAACTTACTTATAATCAATTGCCCCATCATCTCTTTAATTTCTATTACTACTTTATATCTTTTTAATTTACTCTATTATCCAGTGGTCTTTTATTGCGACAAGAATATATTACTTTTTGGACAAAAAGAAATTATTTTTAAAACATATTTTATGGCACTTACTACCTTGTTTTGTTGTTTCCTTTCCTTCCTTTTGAATTTGAAGAGAGGGCCCATGTCTTTTTCTCACCTTTGTATTCTTGGTAACATGTACTCAAGTTTTCCTCGGATGAGATTATTTTCCTTATTTGACAGGTGAGACAGTTGCGGTTGAATGATTGATGCAGCTTGTTGGTGACGATGGAACCAGGGCCTGAGCCATGGTTTTCTTATTTCTTAACTGAAGTCCTGGTGCTCTCCACGTGTACCCATCATCATAGTTTGGCCACTTGTGCTACCTGCCGCCTTCCAAGTGGTCCAGAAACCCGCATTTCTTGGGCCCTTTCCCTCAGTTGCACCCTGCACCCTGGGGAAGTAGCCCTGGGCTGGAATAGTAGCCCCACTGCCTCTTGCTCCCCTCTGGGCCACACTCAGCATTGCTGCTAGAGCATCCTTCCAGAACCCCTTAGACCCGTGCTTTAAACACTTGCCTGGCCTTCCTCACCTGCAAGGGAAGGTCTGAGGTCCTTTTGTGTGGGGCACATAAGACCCTGCCTCTTTCCCAGCCACCTCCCCTTCCACTACCTCATCTAGCGGAGCCGAGGTTCTCACACGTCCCCAAATACCCCCTGCTGCCTTGAGCTTTTATTCACCCTACCCTCTCAGTGTGGAACACCCCTGCCCCCTTTATCTTTCTCTTAAGCTTAACCAAGTGCAGCCCAGTCCTTCCTCCTTCATACATCATAGGGTGGGACAGACAGATTGCTGGTCTGTCACCCAGGCTGGAGTGCAGTGGCACTCAATCTTTGTTCTTTTTTTTTAAGAGGCAAGGTCTCACTCTGTCACCCAGGCCGGAGATCAGTAGCTCCACCCAGGCTGGAGATCATAGCTCACTACAGCCTTGAGCTCTTAGGGTCAAGTGATCTTCTTGGCTCACTCCTGAGAAGCTGGGACTACAGGCATGTACCACTATACCTGACTAATTTACAATTTTTTGTAAAGATGGAGTTCTCACTATGCTGCCCAGGCAGGTCTTGAATTCCTGGGCTCAAGTGATTCTCCCACCTTGTCCTTCCAAAGTGTGGGGATTACAGGTGTGAGCCACCGTGCCCAGCCAATCTGGCCTTTGTTGTGCTATTACTTATACCCCGTGTATCACCATGTACCGCATGTATCACATGGCAGTACTAATATTTATTTACCTGCCTAAATATTTATTTAGGCTACATACTCCTTGAGGGCAAGGAGGGTGCAGTGTATCTGCTGTTTCGCCTCTTCTGTATCGAGCATTTTCTGTGTGTCCAGATGCTGTGAGATGATAGGTGCTGGTAGTCTAGAGATGAGTGAGATGTGGCCCATGTCCTGGG